TTACTATTAACGTTGGCTGTCTTATCGAAGGCAGTTCTTCTTCTCTTGAGCATAACTGGAGTATAAGCCGACTCACTTATGCTGTTGCAGGAGGAATCTGCTTTTGGTGCCACCAACATTTGGGCATTGTTGATACACTGTTCCATAGACAGTTGTGTCCTTGCCTTTTTACATGCATTGGCCATATCTAGTTGCATGTCTGGTATGTGATTAGTCATTTGAGAATTCAACAGCCTTATGATGACGTTAATAACAAAGTTATGAAACGGTTACGAAATCACGTTAAAATGTAACACAATTTCAAGCGTACCGCATTTACCGCGGTTCAGGTGTTGCCTGTAAAAAGGCATCCGTTCGTATAATTCATCACCCGAAACATATTATCATCATTGTTAGAAGTCACTGATGGTGAAAAGCTATCGTAATGAGATTGAAAGCTCGCTATATCATGCTGTGTGACCATCTAACCTAGTTTGGAACTAAAAATGGTGATTCTCTTCAAACCTACTGAGTGTGGGTGCAAACGATACGCAGCTCTTCAAACCTTACATTGCCTTTGTGATCGCTTCAACTTACTTCCGCAGGTTGATTTCGTGTTGGTGCTAATCTTGTCAAGCTTAGCATTCCTTTCAGCTTCTCATCAAGTGACTTACCTGTCCATAAATTACAGTTGTCCACGCTTCCCTATCCATGACACGTTAACCGTTCAGTTCACCATAGTAAGCTTGGATAGTCCAAATTTTTGGATACATATTGGGCTTAACCGCTCTTTAGTCATCGAAACTTATTTGAATGAAACAACTGAAGAAAGTGTGGTATCATGGAAACTGCCAAGTTCCTCTGCACTGAATTGTTGGACTATTAGTATTGACCATCGAGGCGGAAATTATGCTAATTTGGCAGTTTCCTAAAGTGTTTGGCCATGTTACCAGGGACTGCCTTTTCGATGAACTAATGTTAATCACTATCGAAACTTCACTCGTTGACTGGTTGCTTCATATCTGCGTAGCCACACACGCGGAGTTCCAGTGAGCTTTTATGTCCGAAGAAAGAGAATGTCCAATGTGGAGTTTTGCTACGCCCAGTGCCAGAGGCTCTCCTCTTCATAATACGCACGCGAAATATACATGCACAAAGTGGAAGGGCAGCAGGATCAGACAAGCTAACTCATGAGGTGTACACGGATAGTGGTAGAGCGCACTTAGTCAGGCTAACGGAAGTGTTGACCAGTATACGGGAATCAAGCACGATCCCCTCTGATTGGTCTAAATCACTGATTATCCCAATCTTTAAGGAGGGCGAGAAGTCCTCTTGTGACAGCCATGGAGGAGTCAGCCTGGCGAACATAATGTCCAAGGTTCTAGGTTCTATAATTCTTCGACGCCTGAGTGGAGCTTGGGAACAACAATCCCGAGAAAACCAGTCAAGCTTCAGGCCTGGCCGCGGGTATATCGGCCAAACATTCACGCTGCATCGGGTCCTGGAACATAAGCACGCTTACCGACGCCCAGCACTAGCTGTATTTCCCGACGTGGAGGCGGCATTTGACTCTGTTGATTGAGTTTTATGGCAATGTCTCTCACCAAAAGGAGTGCCGAGTAAGCACATCACCTCATTGAACGCTCTCCACTCAAGCACTTCAGGGTGTGTTACAGCCTATGGCGGGATGTCTGAGAAGTCGCGCTCATCGAGTGGCGTCCGTCAAGGGTGCCCACTGTCTCCTTTCTTATTCAATTTTATCATAGATACGCTCGTGGAGGTCTCCCTCTCGTCACCTGACTAAATAGGGGTTGATCTAATAGCAACAGAATTCTCGTTAGACCCAGAATATGCAGATGACATAGTCCCTTTAATTGAAGACGCTGACAAGCTGCAGAGTCTTCCGAATACTTCGGGTGGCAATTTGAGAATATTTGGGGATGTTTGCATTTCTCACCACCCAAAAGCAAATTTTTGCTCCATGACTGGTCTTGAACGGTGTCTCGGCCAACAATAGGGAGTGTAGTAGTTGGGTATGTAAACCACTTCATTTACCTGGGAAGAGAAGTGGGATCAGCCGTGCCCTGGTGGGTTAGTGGCTGACGATATCTCCGCACTAATACAAGAGGTTCAGTAGTATTTCGCAAACTTACGCCACTTGTGAAGCCTCTGTGATATCCGATTGTCTATTAAGGTTTGCGTGTTTTGCTCACCAGTCCCCTCTGTTCTACTGTATGGCTGTGAAACGTGGCCATTGGAGGTAGAAGATATGAGAAGGCTTCAGATGTTTGACCACCATTGCCTTCGTAGTATAGGCCGCATTCTGTGGTGCCACCACGCGAGTAACGCAGTTTTTTGAGGGGGGAGAAGGGGTAAATCTGCTGACGAGATCATGGACCTTCATCGAATGAGACCGTTGGGGTGCACGTTACGTATGCCCTGTTGCCAATTGTCTTGTCACACAATCTTGGCCGAACTAGGTTCAGAGTGGAAAAAGGCCCAAGATGGCCAGACCGAAACGTAGCATCAACGTATGAAGTGTTTGACTGTTGGTTTGAGCCATATAGGGCGATGCAGACCACCTGGTTGGAGTCCGTGGGACAAGAGAAACCAGTGGTTGGAGACTGACTCTAGGTGATCACATGTCTGAAAACCGATGCCAGTGGTGCAGATGTATACACACATTATCCTCATCTTAACCCTACCTACCATTTTTCTCATCATTCCTTCCTCCCTTTTCGTACTTTATGTTTCTTTTGACAGAATTTTCTTTCCTTCTTCGTGTTGCAGTTCACTGCCTTTTTAGTCGATGTGGTGATATAAGGTGTCGTAACTCGGACCAACACACTGTAATGCTCAGTCCTATGTTGGTTTGGATGATGATGACGTGCCCGAGAAGGTCACGCCCGAAATCCTTCTTTTTACAGACAACGCGAAACAGTATCGATAAGTCGATGGCCGGGAAGATGAAACTTCTCTTCAGGAACGTGCAACACGACCTCAAAATTGGGGTGGATGGACAACACCTGTATACATGATCTAAACTGCATGGAACCTGAAACTTCATAGGGGGAGATTTCGGCGTTTTCGTCTCTCAAGACTCAAAGTCCCGTACTAACCGTGACAGAAACGCACTCGGTGCAAACTTGGCACTAGTAACTCCTGGGGGAACTACTGGGCAGCCCAGTAGTAAATGTTCATGCAAAAATCAAAACAGCCCCAGTCCGCCTCACTTTGAGTTTGCAAACATGGTCTGCTCCACTTCCTGCAGAAATACCAGTTTAGCGTAAAACACAGCCAGAGTCTTTCGGCTAAATCTCTGCGATGGGTTTTAGGCCTGGAATTTATGGAGAAATATTAATGGTGTACTATCTGTATATTTGGGATTGAGGAGGCTCAAACAGTTTCATAGTGGCTAAAGGTGTCGTGAGCACTTCGGGACACCCAATGCATCACATCTTCGGTCACAGTTGTAGCAGTGGCCTTAGAGGACACAGGGAAACAAGGTCTGGAGCCTAATAGCAGATTACCTGCTGGAACCTTCTCCCCCCAGCAGTGGTTCAGGCTAATTGGCCTGAATTCTCCAAATACCAACTGCACAAATAATTAAGATGCTGATGGGGTCTCAGTCACAGCTTACTTACTTTCATATTCTGATCATCTATTGGTTGAAGACATCCTGGTCCAAACTCCTCTTGGAAGCATCGATCACGCTATGGTAGTGTTCGAACTGGTAATCAGCGAACAGCTGTCACAGGAGGGATCTCGCCTTTACCTTTGTCACAGCAAGGCAAACTACGGGGAAATGAATCAGTACCTAATGAGGGCTTCGTGGCCAGTGGATTGGCACTCCCCATCTGTTGACCAGCACCGGGAACTATCAAGAGACGTCACTAAGGCGGAGATCCCTGAAACCCTACCCTTGGTGGTAATGACACCAGGAAAGAGGACCTGATGGTCAAAATCAGGCACTGGGCACCTCCTGACATTCTAGAGGAAGGATAGCATGAATGGAGGCTCTTCGGAGAAGACGATGATCGCGCATGTACAGCTCTACGAAGTCCATGCAGCATCATGGTGCGGGTAGGTAGGAGATCGCTTCAGTCCAACGTCGTCAAAAAGCTTGAGATCAACCCCAAAACCCATACCGATTCTTGGCAAGGAGAACATCTGAAAGCCAGGGAGCGTGCGTTATCAAAAGCCCAAGATAGAAAACCTCTGGAAAGGAGATCGCCAAAGTGTCAAGCACCACTTTTGACACAGAGCTCAAAATTACACCACACAGGCACGCATATCCACAGTCGTAGCAGCCCTCGACGTTATCCGGCGCGGCACAGTTACACGAAGTGCACATAATTCGGGCTGTTGTTCTCAATAAGCTATCAAAGCTAAGTGTGGGAAAATCCTCAAGGTGTGACGGCATTAGCCCATCACCTTTTTCTCTCTTAATTTTCATACAAATTAAAAATTGAAGGATTTCGTGGTTCACTGATTCTAAACATGTAAGACAGTTGAGCGAAATGTTCTATTCCATCAACAATCATTCTAATCATTTAAGTAGATTCGTAAGACTAGCGGGACTTATGACCTGTATTTTCAAGTGGTGAAGTGCGTTGCGATGATTCCTTTCCCTACAGTAGGTATTGAGAATTTCTCCGGCTTCCTTCCTCTTCCACAAGCTCTTCTCAATACCTCACTTTTAAGTGCTGGTGGACTAAATATTCAAGGTTTGGCTGGCCAGTCAGTTGGTTTGCATTTTGCTGGACAACCCTCTATGAGGAATCTGTGTTCAGGCATAACGTTACCAGTCATAAACACGGCTAATGTTATCCCTGCCTCAAATATTGGAGTTGGAGTCCTTTCTTCATACGTACCGACAGGATGCCTCAACCCAGTGATATACTACCCTGCAACATTGGGTCAGATGACTCAATCATCCATTTCGCCTATCGATCCTGGTCCGCCTGATTCAGCTGCTCACACGATCGTTCGTGCTCCAGTATTGTACAAAAGTGTGGTAAGTACTGTCAATCTTATTATGGAAAAAGGCGTGATAAGTTATATATATAGAATCTGAAATTCTTGCAAATGCTGAAATTAGGAATCATAATATCGTTAGCGAACATTTACTACCTTTTGGTTCACATTGTTTACTCTTGGCATGGTTTGCTACTTCGCAGGATCTCATCTACTGCCTTAATTAAATGAGACCCTAACGTCACTGTAAAAAGTCTGCATCCAGGTTTCTATTCTCAGATAGGATGTGAGAAAACCCCTTGTCTCAGTTTGGTTACCTGATTATCCATGCGTCTCGTTAATCTGGGTAGTATTGGGCCAAGACCAGTAAATTGTTATCCCATGAAAAAAATAGCATTTGAGTTCACATTTTACTTCTCCCTCCCCCCACACGTTAGACACAACGTTTTGATCTTTTAGATGTCTGCTGACCGTCACGTCCTAATAATTTTTTCCCATATATTTAGTGTAGATTACAGAGTTAAAACCCTAGTCCCAAGAGGTCTGTGAATTGGAAGCAATGAAAAACATCCTTTGATGTTATATCTCTGTAGATACTAATGTGAGCTGGATGTCAGCACACCGTGTGCTGAACGTAGTTAAACAATTTACAGAGGAGGATGCTTTTTTAGTGCCTAAAATTTTTTCAAGCGGTAAAACTGCAACATTTAATTGATAACAGTTATTGCCTCCGTTGTTAAGCAATAGCAGTAAGTCAGATTTTCGACTGTATCAGATAATTTTCTAATCTTTGCTATCACTTATTCCTTACAAGTGGTGAAAGACTACTTTCAGACTATTTATACTCACTATTACGCATTGAATTTTTGTCGTATTAAATCAAGAGCAAACTTTTCGTTTGTACATTCACATCAGATAAGCCTGCCTCACGATTAACTGGGAACTAGTTACTAACTCACTGTTGTTCACTACTTTGACGACAATTGGGCAACCACAGGTTTTTGTGCACTGGAGTTATTTGTGGTGTAAGCTATTTATGCACATCATTGTCTTTCGATCAACAATTCAGACGTCTATGCGTTCTGTTTGAAATTGCTGCAGCTTTTTTGTGCACGATGAAATCATAAACAAAAATTGCCTGTCAACTCTTCCAACTTTTCAGGTGACTGGGTTTAGCAGGCACGTGAGGTATGCCTCCATCGTTTTCATTTAACTTGATGGGAAAGTAATCAGAGCGACTCCTTTTGACTGACGCCTGTTGTCGAGTTTTGGGTACAGCGTTTTGAAATTTAATCAGTAGTTGGTTGGGATTAACATAATAGTGGGTTATATAGTAGAATTTTACGTTGGGATATTATCTTTGCTGTTTAAGAATACCTCTAAAACATTTAATTCACATCACATTGGGGACTTTTTTCCACTGTATAGCTCGTGTTGTGACCTTTTGTGAATCACATTGTACAAGTTACATCTAAATCATCACTTTTTTATTTTTTATTGCTGAACCGCGTATCTTAATTGTGATGCTCATCTTAGTGTGCTGTACTTGTATGCTTTTTGTAAATACTTTTTGTTAGCATGCACGTTTTTAAATCTTCAGTGAGGTTAGTGTTGGATTTTAGGAAATCATCTGAGTAAGCGGTTCATCTCTTTTTTGATATGTAGTGGTTTTATGTTCCAAAAATCTGCTATATGCTTTAAGTCATCAAGCATGGTAGCTTTGTAAGTTTTAATGTGTTTGATCAAGTCCGATTGCAGATTATCGTGCCTACCCACTGGACATTTTATCATTGTGACCAGTTCTTAGTCTATCAACTCATCTTTATTCTTCAACAGTCCATGTTGTCTTACTATTCCTTGATTCGTGACAGGTCACATGTTGGGTTACCCAAGGGTTTTGTTACGTTGCTAGGTTACATATTTTTAATCATCGATGTCTTCGTAGCAATACTTGTGTGTAGAGGAGTCAATGCGAGTAATATCGAAGTTAGACATAAGATACCAAGCAAAGAAGGCAAGCCAGTCAATGCGGTTGTGACCCTACACCCTAGAATACACAGATGGATTTCTGACTTGTGTCATTTAGATACTTCACTTATGTTGTAAGTAGTATGCATCGATAAAAGTCAGTCAAGCAATTTTCGTTAGTGCTGAGATTTCGTCACCCACCAAAATACTGAAGCTGAAACAAATCCTTAAGTAAATAATAGTCAACACAAATGCTGGACGTTTTTTAAATCCGGGCGTTGACGTAGACCGGTCTTAGGACATTTAAATTGGGAAAGACGTGTGAAAGACTACTTACAGAACGTCTAATGAGATATATTTTCTAATTCAAAACTGCATACAAAACAGTTTAGAATGTCATGTTTCAAATATCGGTGACGGGCTTTAGCTGAAATTTAGTCTTATCGAAGTGGTGCGCTTGATCCGTTTTAGGTTAGGTCTTACAATTTTCAGTCGTGCTCTACCATGGCGAATTTCGTTTCATGGTTTTGTGTCGTGTTTTTAAAATGAGGATGTTGTTGAAGTTCTTAACTGTTTATATGAGTGTATGACGATCCACTAACGCTACGCGATTTATAAAGCTAAGTGCCCACGGGAAAGAAGTTCGAAATTGGTTCTTATGCTGGTACGATCACACCTACTAAGAGTGCGATTGATACCTGTCGAATTCAAGTATGTGTATAGGATTCGAATGTTAACCATACTCAGTGGTTTTCTATCATTTCCTTCTCTTTGAAGTTATGCCTTACTGGGAAATTTGTCAAGGTTAGCACTGTACAGACAGATGCTTTGACGGACATATATATCTGCCATGCGGTGAGACCAGATACAACAAGTGTCGGTTGGATAATCACTTAACTATTCAGTATAACTAAGAAATCGGCAAAGTGCATACATCTCCAACTTTCCATACCTTTAAACAGTGAAGGAATGGATCTTTGAGGAGGTACGAAAGAGAAATCTTAGATATCCCCAATAAAGTTATGCGACGTACAAATAACTTGAGATCGACACCACTTTCATCAACTGAATACTGGCAGCCAGTGAATAGCTACATGCAACTACTAATCACTAAGTTATCTCTCTATCAGTGACAGCAGACTTGATAGCTCAAACTGATATACGACTTCTGCGGGGGCTGTAACATAAGCAGCTCATAGTGTATCACTAGTTCGTGAATTCATGTACTATAGATGTAAATCGTGTGTATGCTTGTCAGACTGGAGATGCAGACGTTTTCGGTTTCCATCTACGAGGTAGATGAAATTATTGATCGATAACTATGTGATTAGAGTTTAGGGTAATTAATGCAATTTGTGTACATCTAAATTTCAAACGTGATTAATCTCTTTAGCATGCATTTCGCCTTTCCTGACTATTACCACTGATAACATTTTTAGCTTTCTTCATGTTCATTTCATATCGTTGCAATAGTCTCAATAGTAATGATAATGGAACATACTGACCCAGTATATTTTCATTCTTGTGTCAAGTCAGAATCAGTCATCATAATGGTACAGATGTACACACTTCATCATCAGAATTTTAAACATTTTCAATAACCGTCTACTTATTGTTCCTCCTCTCATGTACATCTACCTAAATATCACTAATTTTCTAAACACTTGTTTGCATGCTGCTATGAAGTGTGGGGACGTAGGCTGGTGCAATGCTGCCCTAGGTCTTACGTTGATTTGTCTGTTTCTTGCACGCTTAGTGATTCCATTTAGTTGCCTCTACGAAAGTTGAGGCATAGTTTTTATTATCCCATTAAGTAGTAGTTCACCTTCAAATACATAAACTTAGTGATGGCCTTATAATGTTTGCGGAGTATAACAAGCTCGATTGGTACACCATTGTACAAGCTGATTCATCCTTTATGTTACTGTAAATTCTTCTGACTTATTAACTCATTAAATTAAGCAGTTTCAATAGATGTCTACTCTTCGTCTACTGACGTTTGTTATACTAGGTTGAATAACAACCCCCACAAAATAGATCTGGTTTAGTGGTTTTGTACGCGAATCTGCACATGGTTTCTGAGTTACATGATTGATTGTCTACCATGTTTTAGTAAATTAAGTTTACTGGCTAGAGTGCTAAATTATATTTTTCGAGCTATTTTTGTGGAAATTTCTCTGGTAAAATCTATCACTTCCCTAATCATCCGGATATATGGTGTCGTGTCTGAAGTTCGTTATTTCTGAGGTACCAGTGCGATATGTGAATTATTGATGGACTCACTAGTCACGTTGCAACATTGTTTACTCCACATTGGCATATACAACTTGAATGAATATACAACCAATTGTATCACAGTGCCAAAAGTACCAGTAAATTCATAAAATTGAAGCCCATGCAACTACATTGACTAAATTATCACGTTATTTTTGTATGGTGATTACTTAGTATCAACTGGCACTTTCGCACTCATATAACACTTTTAGGTGGATCTGCTAAGAAAATTCTTCACGTGTAACGGGTTTTTTGCTATTTGGTCGATGACTGACTGAATTAGAGCCTAGTTTTCAAGTGTTAAGGAAACAGTCCTTTGCGCTAGTGCGTAAGACGATCTGTTTCTTTTGCAGTAATCACGAGAGAGATTTTCTTAGAATCGGACAGTCAGTAACCAAGACTCCTGCTTGCTCGAGGTCGTTGCGAGTGCTCTTAGCTTGGGTTTAAAGTACTTTACTTTATCTTAGAGTTATTTGATATGAGATTTCGCTCAGTCGATTCGAAAGGGATTGCAGAGACCCACTTTTGTTTACTGGTAAGTGGTTGTAAGTTGACAACTGGTTTTGCCAACGTTTCTGCAGCAAACACATGAATGTGAGGATCGTTATAGTGCTACGGTAAATGCATGGCTATTTCTTCTCGAATGTTTTTACTTCCTAAACAGACCCGGATAAAATTTCAAGTTGTTTCTTTTAACAAATTTTTGTGATCATAATCAAAGTAGATAGTCTCTATATAGCTAAAATATTTGATCAAATTTACCCAACGGTAGCTGACAATACGTTTTATGTGTTCATCGTCTGATCCGTTTTCGCGGTCTCTGTTTCATATCTTCCTTTCCCTTCCGTTTATGTTCTTAATAAGTAACATGTGACGCGACGCAAAATTGTAGAACATGATCGTGGATACTAATTCAACAGTTTTGTGTTCCAAAAATACACCAAAGTACCTATATACTCGGAACAATCTACCTCCATGTCAATGTAGGTCATTTAATATGATTGACTCTAAACGTTTGGGATCTTAAAGTTAAACTGACTATTTCCCGTAAAACTCATCCTAACCACAGTAACCGAGTAAGAAGGTAAAGACTAAGAATTAGTTGGCAATATGGATCGCTATAAGTCTCCAAAGAACCAGTCAGCCAAACAGTATAAACATAAGAATTAGCCGAGATCCGGTCAGGAAGTTGAGTGCTTAAGCCAATGAGTAGTTGAATTACCACTTCTGTCCTATTATTAAATTCTATCCTTACTTCATACAAGTAGTAAAAGATAGGGAAAAACTGTCAATGTAAGGCATACAAGTCGAAGTTTCATTTACCAGAACAAGTTCTTTGTATTTGTTGCTTATTAATAGTGCGCAGAGTTAAAAGCATCGTTAGTAATCAAGAGGGTTAAGTATTATTCTTGGAATAATCAATTATACTCCTGTTCTTATTCCATTTTGATTGATACTATTCAACACCATCTAGTTTTTATCAATGGTGATTCTCTAGTTCAGTTGTGTCACTTAGCTTACAACTCATTCGTTAATGAACAGGCAAAATTGTTTTCCTTCAGTTGAAATGTAACACATTTTATTGGCTTTCTATTCATAACTCAATTGTGTTTGTGATTCATGTAGTTGTCGTCTCTTAAATATCTAATTAACCTTTTTGTGATGTCAGGAATGTTATCTGTTGTGTTTGCTCATTGTTCTAGCTGGTCGTTCAACTTTTTACTTGTGTTTAGATCTATAGCTAGCATGTTGTAATTTTGTATCGATCCTTGAGTATTGTAGTGTTGTGCAAAATTTACATCATAATTGTTTTCTTATAGCTAACAATAAGAGAATGTTTAGTCCTGCTCGTCCTGTCTTGCTATATAACTTGCTTATTTCGATAAACTTCAGGTAATTTTTCGTTCAGTCGAAGGCAATTGTTTTGTTATGTCACTGCCTTATTTTACATTGTTATTTTTAATTTTTTCTTTCTCATGTATTTTGTCTGGGGGTGCTCTTTTTTTATTGCTTTCTTGCGCTTATTTCAGTTCGGCGGACTGAGGCACATTCGAGTCGATTCATCCTACGCCTCTACTGGTTAATGGTAATCATTAAAAACCTAGCACTCACAATTTGTTTTTTCTTCGGTTATTTTTTAATGACTATTATTTTTAACTTTCAAAAATCTTATTCATGTGAATGAATGGTCACCTTATTGTTTGTTTCTTTTTTCATTGGTTATTGTGGTAGCTCTCGTATATTTTTTCTCAAGAGACTACCTTAGAAATGAACAATTTAGCCAATGTTTGTCATGTGGTTGCGTTCATGTGTTCGTCTGTATCTTTTTTATATACATCTACATACGTGTTTATGTAGCACTTGCATTTGCACTTTGTGGTGACTTTGTTCTTTGTATACGTTTCTTTTTTCTCCAATTGCGCCGATTTGATACCAATATTAGCACTGTTCGCGCTTCGTGCTTTGCTCGCTTAATTTGTCTGTGAGTAACCTTCTTAGTCAATATCATATACTTAATGTTTCCCTTTTTTTCCCCATACCTCGCACACTTTTCAGATCCATCAAGAATCTAGCCAAGCAAACAATGGAATCATTTCCAACAGTACAAAAGCTAAAGAAGAAAGTCCCCCAGATCGTATTGTGGCTTCTTATGCTGCTGCAGCACATGCAGCTGCACTAGCCTGTCATCAGCCGATTTCCAGAGCTGCTGAAGCCTATCTAGCTACAACCTCCGGCAACCGATCACGTCATTCAAAGAGATCTCGAACTGTGAACCATTTAACAAGCACAACAACTCCAAGTATAATACCTAGCTCTGTGATGGAGGCCAGGCAAAATTTCAGTTGTGTTTCATCATTATCTAGTCTGACGTCAATACCATCTCTTGCTACATCAGAAAGTAATTCAGTAGAGTCGCATAAAGGTTGGACCCGTGTAATCGATAGGAAAGCATACAATGTAGTGTATATATCGTGAGTTGTGTGATTGTTACTCATATTTTTTCATACATTGTTTACATTCAAAGAAAAAGCAGTCTACTATTTTTCGTCAAAAGGTATTAAAGGTGTATAGACACACCTTTTATTTTAAAAAATGCATATATATATATATATATATATAACCGCCTTTTGGTTGGAGATAAAATACTGGCTATGAGTGAAATCTCCATTCACTGGAAAATGGTAAATTGAATAGCATGGGTAGGACAATGTTTGTAATATTCTGAACTTTAATCTGAAAAATTCACCTCACTTGGTATGATAGAAGAATAATGAACATGTCTGGTTTTCTGTTAATGCCCGTCGTTTGAAGACCGACGTGCAGTTTACAATGTGATATCTAGAATTGAGGAGTGGTATTTCATTGACTGAAACCTTTAGCAACGGTCGCAAAGGGAAGACTATAACTAAATAACAGCTATACTAGTGATAGCAGATTGAAATAATAAAAACAAAAGTTTATGTCTTGGAAATGTGTGAAACAGGAAATGTACCAGTTTTGCATGAAACAACCTTATTCGTATTTGCTTGAATATCTTCTGGAAATGCTGCGTGTTGTAGGGTTTCAGCCATTTCTTGACATCATCCCTACCAAGGTGATGAAAAGCTTTGCAGCAAAGTGATGTGCACAATTTCAGGAGAGACTTTTGATATCCCTTTCCCTTAGAGTTAGAAAGCAACATGATTGAAGTTGCTGTTCACATCCCTGTCCACTCTGAAGTACAGTTTCGCCAGCAAACCGCAGTGTTAGTTGCATACACAGTATTCACATTCAATCTTACGGTGCTCTCCAACTGACTTTTCTGAAATGATTTAATCTCAAGTAATCAACGATCCGTTCAGTGTAGCTTGATTCCGTGATAATGTTAGGTAACATTGGATATAAGTTTGGTCAGACAACGATAGGTGTATTAAGCTTGTTTGCATAAAAGAAAGAATTTTTATTTTCTCGATAACGCCCGACTCTTCTGTGTTAAGTCTAAGCATATTTGTTCTCTAGCCACATATTTGTTTGGGTTTTTATTCTCTTCCAAGTTTAAACTGTGTTTCTGGGCCAAAATACTAGCGATTCTTGTGGGTTTCTAATCCATGTCTAATCCTCCTGTGTTCGACTGGTTTTTATCTTTTTAAGCACGTCTCGTTCCTGCAGGCTATTAAAAGATGTATGAGTGCGAAAACTGATATCTAAGGAAGAACTACTGTGATTTAGTTAATAAACTATTCTATCCAGTGAGCATTTTCTACACTAACTGGGTCTGGAAAGAGCTGGATAAGAAATACTTTATTCTTCATTATTTGATAATTGGTTTCTTGCATTACTAAGCATCTTGTATCTTCCCGTCACTTACGTGGCTATTTCATTTACTGCACTGTTTTGGAGAAATAAGGGAACCACCAAGAAGGTTCGAGAAAATGTAAGAACTAAAGGCCATTTGTTAAGAAATTCTTGGGGCTTTATCAACTGGTTTGAAACTTAACTACTATTATCGACGTTTTCAGGTAGCTTGGGGAATGTCCATTACACTTCAAGGTCTTTTGGTAACAAATTACAGAATATCGAAAAATTCCATTGTTGCATTTGAAATGAGATATTTTGTTACATGTTCTCCTGAAACTGTTCTTTACTTCAAATTCCTTCCAAAAATTCGGTAGTGGCAGAGTTGTTCAGTAGAATATCATCGATGTGCCATTCTCTCAATGTGCAAATATGAAGTTCTCACACTTTGGTTGTTGTAACTACTACATACTGAAGCGAGATGCTCAACTTGGATCGTTATGCATCATCATCAAGATCAACATAGGGCCAGACATTACTGCGTGACGGTCCAAATTGCCACATCTTATATCAGGATATGAAGTAACAAGGCAGTAAGATGGAAGATGAAGAGGAAAAGAAAAATCAGTCAAGGAGTAGGAAGAAGTAAAAGAGAGGAAAGAGGAATAAGAAAATGATGAAATTAAGTATAGTGGTTAGGATGAAAATATTGTATGTGTACATCTGCGCCACTGTTATCTGTTCTGAACCATATCACCTACAGTCTTCAACCACCGATTTCCTCAACCAGCTAGTCTCCATCGGCCTACATGGCTCAAACGAACCGTCAAGGGCTTCATGCGTTTTAGTGTGACCGGCCCTAGCCTTTTTTCACTCTGCACCTGATTCGACCAACATTGTGCGATGAGGCAGACGGTGGCTAGGTATGTGTAACACATGTTCAAGTCATCTCGCTCGATGCAAGGTTCACAACCTCATCCACCGGTTTACCTCTTCTCCCTAAAACTCTACGCCTGACTTCTGCGTTGCTCACGTGGTGACACCATGAAACATGGCCTATGCTACAAAGGCAGTGGTGGTCAGACACCTGAAGCCTTCTCATGTCTTCTACCTTTAATAGCCATGTTTCACAGCCATACGGTAGAATAGGCCAAACTGGAGCATAGTACACTCTAACCCTAGTCGACAACAGGCTATCAGAGTGTGCCATAGATGGCGTAAGTTGGCAAAAGCCAGTCGAGCCTTTTGTATTTGTGAAGAGATTTCATCGGCCGCTGAGCTGATGCACCAAAGCTGATCCGACTTCCTAGGTAAGTAAAATGTTCAACGCGCCCAACCACTCCACACTCTCCATTGTTAGCCAGACCGTCGTTGAAGACCAGTCATGGAGCAATAATTTCCATTTGGGTGGCGAGAAACGCATCTCAAACATTCTAGAATTGTTACTCAGGGTGTCCAGAAAACCCTGCTTCTTGTCTTAACCTAACAGGATCATTTCATCTGCGTGTTCTAGATCAACCAAAAATTCTCCTGTGATTAGGTCAATGGCTGTTTAGTCAAATGACGAAAGGGGGACCTCCATCAGAGCGTCTGTTGTAAAATTGAATAAGAATAGGAAGAGTGAACATCGTTGACGGACACCACTCGACGTACATAGCTCGTCTGATATCTCACCATAGGCTGTAACACACCCATAGGTGTTCGAACAAACAGCCTTCGATAAGAACCGTTATGCAGTAGTATCCAGTCTCATTGACTGAGTGGCATGACTAAGTTTATAAATTTGATCGGCTGTTTGTATTGGTCTCGGTTTACACTCACATACATGATTTAAAACAGTCAAAGTTTAGTTACACCTGCCTGTCTAATGTACACAATAACTCCCATGTAATATTTGTAAACAACTTTATAATATTCTCGTAAAGTTTTTAAGTACGTTAAGGTGAATGACTGTGTGTCTAATTTATTCTTTTATCTAACAGACTAAATGATTTGAAAGTATATATTCTAATAAATTCAATAACTGGACCGATTTCACTTGTGGATTTATTTTTCTGGTCATGGTTATCAGTACAAACAATGGTTCGATGACCTAAATACCTTCTGCAGAATACCGTACTGAGTAGTTTTTTAAACTAATGATATCTGCGTGAAAAACAGGATTGAAGAAAGGTTTCATTTATCAACAGTGAAAAACTTTCTTGATGCATTGTTAAAATGCTTTCAGCCGTTGTTTCAGCGTTATTGTCCTGCAAGACAAACAAGTGGTAAACGCTATTGCATTTCGATGGTGTGTTCGCTGAGCTTGAGCTAGTTACAGGCATTAGTAGCCTTTGAAATGCATAACCTTACAATAACACTGTTTGTTAGAATGTAAGGTAATGATTTCACAATATTGTGTTCTGATTTTACAGATTTGTGAAGGTTTCTTAATGTTTCTAAACTATTATGTACTTTCGATGCATCAATACGCACTGTAGTACACGGATGAACGCATTGTTGGATAATGGATTAGTTTTCCCCCCTTTTGTTCTTTATCTGTATAATGTTTTTTAGAAATCAACCTCACTTTCCAGCATCTTTCTTTGATATTACTTACTTGCTTATTGTAATTGCCTTTTTTTACTACCACAATCACTAAGATATAGACAATATTGCAAACATGCTCGGAATAAAAGTTACTCTGAAGTAGTTAGGCATGTTTAGTTAAGACCGTTAGGTTTGACCTGTAGTGTTTTTCTTAACATATTAATGCAAGAAATAAAACACGGTGGCATTCATTCATAAAATAAAATAATCTGTCTTATGAGATCATAAATTCTTCACTGTATTAAGTGGATCAATGTCTTTTATTCTTCATTATACGTGTCTACTTTCTCTCTTGTTTTGCTCATCACAGATCTGATGGTGTCCATTTGCATAATGTTGATGAAGTCTATACCTATTTATCTACAAAAAATCCACAATGCTTGAATAATCCATGTATGAGAGACTTGATCACAGCTCATTTCATCTTTGCACCCATAACCCAGGCTTCTTCACTTGAGAATACAGTGAATTTTGTGCACAGTTTGAAAGCGTCCACTGTAAAGAATGAAACGACACAAGATAACACTGATCAATCTCAAAGTAAACCATCTACTTCAAGTAGTGTGAATAACTCTGTTGTTTCACAAGCAACAATTACATCACCAGAGAAAATCTGTAAGTTTATTTTCAAATTGATTTTTATGTACATATGTATAAAATAAATGAACTCTTGTATAGTTTGGAGACATCTATTTACGCTCTAGTTTTAGAGTAAGTGTACTGAAATAAAAAGACAGGTTCATGTGTTGTTTCATATGGTTATACTGCATACTGGACGTGTTCTCGAAACTGCTGTGCAAAAGGATACTTCATGAGTCATGAATTCTGCTGCTTAATTTATGAATGATGCCTATAAAGTTTGTCAACTGACCATCATATGAAAAGCATTAGGAGTTAAATAGTATAAAATCAGTATTAGCCATCAACAGCTGTTATTACGTGATCAACGAAATATAAAAGAAAAAGCTTCAAGTAAAATATGATTGATTGTACCAAGAAGTAGCATCTGCCCATGAATTCATTCATCGTCGGTCTAAATCTTGTAGAAATATTTGGTTATCTGGTCAGTATTCAAAGTGGAAAAAGGCTAGAAGGGAACAGATCAAGACCTGACACCAATCCATGATATCTTTGACTGTTGGTTTCAGTCATGAAAGGAGATGTTTATCTGATTGGTGTCCTCGAAGCCGTAGAAACCGGGGACATGACTGAAGTTATTCACAGCGACATAGATATTTACACTACTTTATCATGTTTGGGATTTTGAACATTTTCCCACCCATCTTCATTCATACATTCCATTTTTTTCCATTCACTTTTGTCTAATTGAATGTCATTCTTCTTCTGCCCATCTCATTGTATGCTATATGCATATGTGAAAGTTTGAACTAATACACTTCTTTGACCGATTGGCTTATGTTGAGGGGACGACTTCGGTCTGGGCAACTAAGTTGTATCATAAGTCCTCAGCCAAGTGCAAAAACATTCATCGGGTTGATTTACTATGTTGGTTTGTTTATTTGTCTGATTTTTACATGTTTTGTTGAACTCAAATCACTGCACATTTTCGCGTTTTGCTTTACACTAAATCTATCAACTAGTCAAACTCATATGATGAATGGGCAGTTTGGCTGTCAGCTGCGTTTGTTTTAGAGGTATAAACTACTGAATGCTGTGATCCAATCCTAGACCAGACAAGCCTTTATATCTTTTTAAGATCATCCTATTTTGCTTGGCAAAGCTACTAATAATTATACCAGGTTTCTGACTACTTATGTGTGTTGAGTCTGTTTATCTATTGAGATGTTCTTTATGAAAGGATTAACGAATAAAACCTTTGCAGTTACAAAGTGGAGGTGACTGAAAGAATGATACGAGATACGAAAACGCTACTAACGCAATGAGATGCTTAGACTGGATACGAATAACAACTGTTCTCTCCCAGACCTGATGCTTCACTAAGCTGCGAAAATCAGAAGACAAAGACCGGCCTATGAGTGTAAGAAAGGGAACTTTGTTTGACAAAAGACACATCGTTTATATGCAGTTTTTCCTCGGAAAATGAAACCACTAGATCAGAAGGTGAATACTTATTTTTATTGGTCAGCTGTAAAACAAAAATGTCCAATAAGGTTTTTCCCACCCACATAGTAACATGAAACAAGGTTGAAGTCCGAAACTCCTACTTTAGCGGCTGATGACGTGGGATTTTGATTTCGATTCAGGCCGCTTCCTATCACCTTCAATACTTTAGGTTTGTCCGCTTTCTTTTCACCTTCACTGTCTTCATCATCACCGAGTACTGAGTTCGCTAACTTTATAGTTCGCACGCGATAGGGATTGGCTGGTATGTATTCCCTGTCCGCTATTGTCTGCCTAGTTCTCTTGATTTAAAAAAAGATAACACATTTAGGAAGTAGAGCGTTCCTTCCCAAACACATTTCCCATAGCTGGAAAACGCATAGTTATCCTGGTTACTTAAAGCTTAGCAGGATAAACATCTAATCGTTAAGTGTCCAGCGTAAATCCTACATGTGATATGTGTGTTTGTGGATAATAGCTGGTTAGAATTTAAATCATTTCTCAATAACTCGTTAAATTGATGAGGTGATTATCACAGGGCAGCACTAATTTAAATAATCCGTTTCAGAGATAATGGGAACGATTATCACCGGACGTCCTGATAGAACCTGGTCATGGGCTTGATTATGGTCTCATTCATCAGATCGTGGAGTGCAATCATACCTAACATTATTCAATGTTGTCTGTATTCTTTGTGACAATTATTTCCATTGATTGTAAGGCGTTGTATCAATGTCCCACAAAAGCGTTTTCTGTGAAAGACAATAGTTCCCAAAATTCTTCATCCATATACTCGCTATCATTTGAACTGGTGGGGTTAAACAATATCCTTCAAAAATGTTCACATTTCCCCTACTTCTAACTTTCCAGGATCTAATTTTCTTACGATGTAGTTTACAATTGAGTGTGAGTATAATCTTGTTTAGTGAAAGTATCAAGGTAAAATAAATTCATGGGTACACATTGCTGAAAATTCCTAAACTGGGACAAAATAGTTGTTGAGTTCTTCCGGGTTTTTCGACTTACTTTGAAGGCCACCCTAGCAACTGCTGAATTAACCAATCAAATATCATAATTTCGTCTGGAAAGATAGTTTTTTATAGAATCGTGGATCATGATTAATTATTTCAACAGTTGCTAGGGTGGTGTTTAAAGTCATCTGGTTTTTCGTTGGTTCTCTACTTTATGTCAGACCATAATGAATCCTACCTTAAGATCAATCCCTATAAAATGGTAATTACAGTACGTTAGAATGTAAAAGAAGAACAAAAAAATTTACGACTTAATATGCGAATGATAATACGATACAAACTTTTTGAGTTACAGAAAGTTTAGTTGATCTAACTACTTTGAGCAAATTCAATGAGACTAAATAGAATTATTCTCTTGTCTTTCTACTTTCAGTGATTCCAATTTTAATGCATTCATAATTCCCATTGTGACATCAAAAACAGGATATTCAGTGAGGAAGATTTAACTTAAATAATGGGAGATTGAAATAACAATAATATAGTGGTTTTAGTTGCTAGTCGATTACGTGAAGGTTGAATGATAACAAAAAGGGTTTCTTAAGATTTTCTGGATCGTTTATAAGGATCAGAATGTAGATACCAAAGAAATGTTAAGGAAATTTAATGAGGTGCACCCTTCACTGACTTCCACTTGTGAAGAAGAAAATGCGAGTAAACTACACTTTTCAAATGTCTTGCCAAGGAGAAAAGAAAATGGTTCACTCAACAGATGTGTTTACAGGAAGACTACGTCAGTACACACATTTTCTTAGTCACGTACTGACTCAGTACAAAGCAAATCTGGTTAAATGCCTCACTAACAGCGCGAGAAGAATATGTTCGGATGACTTAGTACAGAAGGAGTTAGAATATATGCATTTTCCACTGGTCAAAATGACCTTCCCTTACAGTTTCATCAAAAGACACAGGGACAAAGCGAGAGGAAACAAACCTGGACTTATTGCCATACAAAAGAAACCTTCGCTCATGAAATTAAAAGTTAATGGAGATATAGCCAGAGAAGTTTCATATAAGAAACTCCCTAAAGCTGTTTAGAGGACTTCTTACGCCGCACAACTCTGTCTATCATTTTCAAGTCGACCAGTTGTTGTTGCTCAAACAAAGGACAAAGTATCTAGTTTTACCATTTCTTTGTGTATTTACAAGTTTAGGTGCTTCTGTGAAGAAAGGTGTATAAGGCGTACTACTAGACAACTTAACAGTAGTGTTGCTGAGCACCTTCGTGGTTGGGAAAGGGACAGATAAAATCCATCAGAAGTTCTATTTTTACTCACCTCGTTAATAGTGGTCACTTGGTAGATAAGAACAATGCTTTGACTATTATTCACCGCATACCACCTCATATTTCGAAAGGTATTCAAACTCGTCTTTCACACATAGCCAAAGCTGTGGGGATTCGAGTTAATAATCCTAGTCTTTGTATCCAGAAGTTTGTGCATCCTTTATCTCTCCCCTGGTCATTGTGTTTTTTGCCTATCCCTTTTATATACTTACTGTATTTCCAAATCCCGGTGGGAACAACATCACTCACTGGGAGACAGGTACATCCAGCTGACGAGTTCCAAATAAGATGAAATGCGCATCCTGGATTCCACTGCTAGCCACTGTCCATCATTACTTACTGTATTTGTTTAGACTTTGTTTATCTACTTACCTCGTCGTCCAATATTACGCAACTTTTATTTTCCCAAGCTTTCGACCCACTTATTATCGGAGTGTCTACATTTTCATGCTGGTATCTTGGCTCTTATCTTTACTATCATCTATATTGCATGTGCTTTAGTCGACGTTATCACTTTTATCATTATTATCGTTATATTATTATTATTATTATTATTATTATTATTATCATTTTTATTATTATTATGACCATCGTTATTTTGGAGCACTTATCGCATTAACCGACAAATCTACATGATTGGCTTAATTTGTAGATATATATTTAGCGATTTGTATTGGAGTATAAAACCTGAAAAGGCTCTAATTGAAAACAATATTGTTTGCTTATATGTCTTCTTGTAGGAATGAGACAAGGTAATTAGAATAAATTGAGAATGTTGTGTTAGAAGTTGCCTCTATCAGGAAGATCGAATAAAGTAACTCCGGAAACTATTAAATATAAAAATAAAAGTGATAATGAGGATATAAGAGTACAAAGATTATTCTAACGGAAGGGGAAGTTGGAAAACAAACAAAGCACCCCAAGGCCAAGAAAAGGTAAGGCCATGGTAAAGACAAAGACTGTGCGAACCTGGATACAAAGGTCAGGCTTCAGTTCATGGATAGCCAAGGCCTTTGCTGTTTTTGAGAGTTGCAGATAGAGGAAACGTGAGATGTTTGAGCCAATTCGATAGACAACCTTAAAATCATTGTTTGAATCAGTTGAGTGGTTGGAATCGATTAGATGTTCAACGATAGAACTTCTAATACAATTCCTTTCACCCTTATAAAACCAGACAGGAATATGTTCTCGTGTTGACAGTAATCTTGCTTCACAAGAGCAGGTGAACCGGTAGATACAGAAAATTTCTTTGTAACCCTTTTTGTCACCATTCAACCTTTATATCACCAACTAGCAACATTATCATTATAACCACCACCACTATTATTATTTCAACCTCCCATTATTTAAGTTAAATCTTCATAACGGATTGCAGTCTTTAAATATTATATAAAAGTGTACAGCTTGGGAATAAATTCGTTGAAAAGGTTCCGATCTCACTTTTATTTCTCTTTCATGTATTATTTCTGACTTTTGATAAGGTGAATGGGTAGACAGAATTTGCTCCAGGCTCATGATTATTTTTAGGTTTCAATTGGTTGTCATGGTATCTAACGCACATTTTAACGTTTTACTTGATTCATTCTTGTTGCTTTACCTTCTTTGTCTTACAGCCCCATGTCGTATAAAATTCAACCGTGATCATTCATCGAATTGTGAGCTTTTGTCATCGAAACGATCAAAGTTGTCAAATGATTCATTTAGCTCAAATGTTGAACCTAAAGAATCGTCTACGTTAACTGACCGGTTAAGTGATAGTCTTACTACTACTGCAGGCTCTGCATGTTCAACACAATCTTGTATTTCTTCCACAAACCTTGAATTCTTTGGAAAGGATGACAATTCAAATGTTGATACACTACACTCTTCAGAGACAGATGGAATGTTTAAAAGGCCGACTGATGTTGAAGATCATCAATCCATTGTGAGAGAGAACTCGGGTAATCACGATTCTGAGGATACTCAATATGAAAATTCTTCCGTAATGTCTACCACCACCACAGTTCCGATTAATATATCTGATCAAACTAGTCAAAATGCATTTCAGAATGACAGTGATAATATGGTTGCTAAACTTACCACTGAAACATTGACAACTGGAGCCTTACGTACATCACTGTCATCGCTTACTACCGAGGTTGTCCCATCGGTTTTGTCTCCAACAAAGCAAGTCGGTCAAAATGGTATAGAGTTGAACTTGTCAAATTTGACTAATTCGCTTTTAAATCCATCGCAAGCGAATCTTACTACTGCGTCATCGAATGTGTTGCAACAACATCTTGGGAATCCTTTGCTTGTTGAACAATTGTTGGCCATTACGCGGATGGGACATATTCAGCACCAGCAGGAGCAACAGCGACACGCTAATCATCAAGTGACCTCGGCATTGGGTGGTGGAACACTGACGACACAAAATAATTTAGAAAACTGTCCAGCTAGTATCCTAACTCACCAAACTTTATCAAACCCTATTTTGTCATCTTTAGCAGCTCCATGGATTTCAAGCCTTAATTCTTCAACACCAATTACATCTCTGTCAGGGTTGACAGTGAATCCAACTGTTAATAACATGGATGTTACAGCTGTTCTTCAACACCACCAACAACAGCAACATCTCCTCACCCTTGCAGCCATACAGCAACAACAGCAGCAACAACAAGCTCAATTCTTAGCCTTGATCCAAGCTGCCGCCTTACTGCAACAGCAGCAGCAAAGAAGTGTTGCCAACGGCATGGCATCAGCTGCTGCCGCAGCTCTGGCCTTACGTCAGCAGCAACAACAACAACAGTTGACAGTAGCCTCTGTTCAAGCTCAAAATTATCTAGCCGCTCTACAACAGCAGTTTACCAATCCGCATACCTAATTATGTTCGTTCTTGCTGTGGCTCAATGTAACTGCTACATCTTTGTTGTTTACACATTGTATGATAATATCACTATGATAGTAACCTTTAGAGTTATTATTATTAGGCAACTAGTTTACATCTTGATATTGTTTCTGCCTTCCATTTTTTCAGCATAAGATAAAAGAATTGAAAATAGCTCAACACATATCCATTTATAATGAATGTCTTTCGCTCAGTTGATTTTAATCCTGCTATGATTTCACTTCTTTTCGTATTTTGCCATCCCTAGTCTTAAATAGCGCCTCAAAGAGTATCTTTATACATGTACTTGTGTGTGTGTGTGTATGTGCGTATGTATGTATGTTTGTACATATATTTATGCTCCTACTGACATATGCTTATTCCATGTTTTTTCCTATTCACATAATAAGATACACATCGTATGTGTAAATTGTCATCTGAGTGTGCTGGTATTTGGATTCTGTCCTTCTTCATGTATCTATACCCAATGAAGGTTTCTTGTTCTTCTCTCTCCACCTTTTTAGGGTTTTGTTTTGTCGACTTGTATGTTTTTATTTTCCATCTTTATCTTTGTAATATTCTGTATATTGTTTTTTTTGTTTTTATCCCATGGTTTATGGATTTCTTGTGTTATTTATAAGTCAAGTACACCTATTTATTATGATTCACTACCGGATTTTGTATGTGCTATGGTTATAACTGTTTGGTTTGTCCACTGTTCGTCTGGATTAGACTATTGATTAAGTTTGTGTGTGATTATGTGCTTGTCTTTGTGTATGCAGCCTGTCTTAGTCCCTTGTTCTGAGAAAAGGGTATAATTCATTCGTAGGTGCTAACAGCAGTGTCAGCTTTTTTGATTAAACACTGATGAAAAGTGACTAGCAGAGAAATTCACGAGGTGTGCTTCGTCTTATTTTGAACCCGTTAGCCGTATCTACCTGTCTTTCAGTGTGTGATGCGCCTACTGTAACTCAAACTCAGCGTCCATCGCTTCATACGCTACAGCACTGTCCATTAGGCCACTGAGCTGTGACAGTCACATCTTGCGTGACATGTATATTTTGATGCCTGTGGTCCCCCCTTGATGATTGGACCAAGGTGGTCGATCACTATTGGCTCATCGGCTCCCTACCTTGATATTGCCAATGGCTTAAACTTTTAGCGATGATATATATATATATATATATATATATATATATATATATATATATATATATATATATATATATATACAGAGAGAGAGAGTTGATTGAGGGATGACTTCGTTGTACTAAGAATTTGAAACTATTGATAGTCTAATTCGATGAAAAAAGCATTTAGACGGTAGTCGTCTATAGTGTACTCAGAGCTTTGCTTCACGGTTTCGATGCCATACACTAAATTTATTAACTGTGTAGAGTAATGTACTGTAGCTTTTCTATCAGCCTTGTATTGTATCAGACAGGAGTGGGGAAAAACAATCATCACGAATGTTCTCTGTAATCTAATTTATTAGTTGTCCTGAAAACCTTTGTGTATAGATGCACTAACGACGGTTAGGTTAGCCGAAAAGTGAAAAACATGAATCTCAGGTAATTACTATTGGTCGTATTATTTTGAAAGTCATTTCACTTATGATTTAATTAGTAACATTATTGTGTAGCTCAATCCAAGAGTTTTCGATTAATCCCTCATCCATTGATATATGAATTATGGTTCAGAAATAATCTCATTTTGAGAGAAATGCTTGATAATGCATTATTCCACTTTCTGTGCTTGAAATTATGCTTTACTGTGGTCAGAGAGAGAGATGAGTCTTAGGCAGCACTGTTTCAACTACAGGTGGCACAGGCACAGACGAGGATGTCAAAGCCAGGATCGGAAAAGCAAGACAGGCTTTCGATAACCTGAAATCAGTGTGGAGATCTTCTGCACTCAACATGTGGAACAACATCCAGATTTTCAACACTAACGTCAAGTCAGTGCTTCTGTATGGTTGAGAGACTTGACGCCTTGCGAACAGGATTTCCAATAAACTACAGACATTCATCAACAACTGCCCCCTATGCCGGCTCGTTAGTGAAGCTCATATGTCCAGAATAATAAGAATAAGCAACAAGGAACTCTGGCTTGAAACGAACCAACCAAGAACCTATAGCGCAGAAGGAAGTGGAGATGGATTGAGCATACACTGAGAAGGCCGACTGGGGACATCACACATCAGACCCTCGAGTGGAATTCCCATGGGAAGCGACGAGTTGGGCTTCCGAGGTGAGGGTGACATGGAGGAGATTGTGCAAGGAGGAAATGAGAGCTTGTGGGCTGTCGTGGAGCCACGTTCAAAAGATTGTAGAGAACAGAGTGGAATGGAGACGTGCCACTGAAGCCCTATGTTCCACTAGGTACCTAAGGGACAAATAATAAATAAAAATAGAGATGAGTCATTGCCTGACAATGAGGACTAGCTCTTTGTGCTATTGTAAGCAGTTGGGTGGGCCGAATTGTGTGACTAATCGTACGGGTGAATTGAGTATTCGTGACTGCTAGAATATACTCGAGAGCAATCACGTGAAAGGTCAGTGTTAATACTGAATCGAAAGAGTCATTTGCTTAAAACAATACGGCTAGTCAAATTTATAATATTAAAGCTTTCATGCTTGATTTTAACTTGAAGGTAGACAGACTGGGTAAAATTGTATAAAACTTACTGTTGTCCACTGGTTGTGTTGTTCTAAGCTATAATTTTACTTTCCTGTTGAAAAATTGATGTGAGAGATCGCTTGCATGACCTGTAGTCAGTTATTCAAATTCGGATTCACTCGTTTTATTCAGTGTGACATCCCGTTAGATACTGTATAAGATTCTTGGTACACAATAGTGCAACAAAGCACTCCTAAATGATTTCGTTGAAAATACAGGCAATAAGCAACAAGAAATATAGACAACCACTAATTAACCATTGAAAAAGCTGTGCTAATTCCCACCTCCCCGATGTCTCTTCAATTAATATGTTATGTACTAAAGTAAGCATGATTAAGCTTTTTTACTACAAATATGAACAGTAATGCTACTGGACTTTCACCTTGTTCTGCTTCGAGAAGTTAGGCACAGTGGAGTTTATTAACGAAGTGGATGACTGGAATCTGATAAAACAAAAATAGTTGGCTTTTTTCAATAAATCAGATGTTTCTTCATGACATCATTCCATGATGGGGTTATAATTGAATGGCTAATCCTACTAACAACCTCCACAATGATATATATATATATATATATATATATATATATATATATATATATATATATATATATATATATATATATATATTCAACCATATGTATATTCAACTGAGTAGGCATCAAGTGTTAATTATTACTGAAACTGAGATTTTTGTTCTGTGACAGGCTGGTCTTTGTGTAACGATGAGTCGGTCGGAGTTGGAAGAGAAATCTTATTCCTGACAGATCTCAAACCAGCTGTTTAAATTGATAATAATATCTGCTGGCTTCCATGACGTGCATCACCTTGATCGTCCGAAGTACTGGAAATAAATAGCCTATTCCACGGCATATAGTATCGCCCGTTACTTTGTACCCGTTGACACCGTAAAGTGTCACCGGTTACTTACCTCCCTCCTACCTTGTGTGTTGTTCCCATATGTTTCATTGATACGAAGATTGATATGAGAATTGTGTCGAAAGATTTTACTGCTGAATAACTCAAGTAGTTAGAAACCACTCAGGCTGATCTATAGTATTTTGCCAACCAGATCAGAGTGTATTAATGATGGATAGTGGCTAGCAGTGGAATCCAGGATGCGCGTTTCGTCCTATTTGGGACTCGTCAACTGGGTGCGCCTGCCTCCCGGTGAGTGATGTTAATCTCACCGGGACTTGAACTCGAGAACAATCACTTCAAATGCCAGAGCGTTATCCACTAGACCACCGAGCCACTATAGGCACTTCTTGTGTAAAAACAATAACAGATCAGAGGGATCTAAATACCGGATGACCGTTTCATTCATTTGGGACCGAGCTCATCAGCGATATGCCCCGACAAATTCAATTCATGGAGCCTTATTGACACCACAGTTGGGACGGTAGTTGGAAAACTACTCAACTATGGGGAATGTTAATGTGGACCACGCAATTTGTCAATCATGTGCAAATTGGTGATCCAATTTGAGAATTATATCCCCGTCATTACCTATTTACTGGAGAGGTTAATGTTAGCCCGTCATCTATCCTCAACTACTGAGACAAATTTGATGATTGTTACAGTTGATAACATGAATCTCCTATGTATGAAGGGGAACACATTGACCATGGGCATGTCCTAGTACTTTCGAAAATTCCTGAGGTCTTTGCCATGTATTAGTAGGAGTACACGTGTTTCCTCCGTAAATGATTCAGAGAATTCAGCTCATACTACTGTCATGAGAGCTAATGGATTTCAATTCAACGTCTGGTTGAGTTTTAGTGTTCAAATTGTTTTGCACTTCGAAACATTGATTCGGAAGTGTATTGTTCACGACTAAAGGTATTTTTACTCATGGTAACCGGAATGAAGAGATTACCAGTGCATCTGAAACAGTTATGTTTCAGTGTAAACATTCACATCTTCAAGTAGTCAGACTGAAGGAAAAATCTGTAAAGCAAGGATGAATAGTGAATAGAACATAACCAATCAAAGTGACAGGATTGTTTTCGCTAAGTTTTCTACCACTAAACTATACGATATCCCCGCACGGAGAAGATAAGTAAGCAGATTCACACTTTAAACTATACATCAACGGTTTCTAAATTCATGAATTGTCATTGTCATCCATTTTGCAAACCTTTACGTCCTCTTCCATCTGAGTTTTATTATGCCTTTTGTGTGACGTTCTTATATGGGTTATGAGTTCGTATGTTAGGGTTTGATATTTAAAAGTGGTTTGTCAAGCATGGTAACATAAAGTAGTGCCAATACATGGGTTATCATTAAAATCAAAAAGTATGAAGATTAATGAAAATGTGACGAGTTGCACTGAGATTACCAAGTTTCGCAACATGAAAAATATTTCTGGAAACTGAAGTTTAACAAGAAAGGCCATAGAAACAGCAATGAATGGTAAGTTGCTTAAAAAGTGAACAGTTTTGAAAGAAGGATGATTTCAAAGACTAGGAGTTGTGACCATGGTAGGCGAAGAGAATGAACAGTTTTCTTTTGCACACAGCTGTTTTTTCGCCATATGGACGGCCATAGCTTTGGCGATGCAGCGGATACGAAGACATACAGCTTTTGGAAGGTTTCTTTTTATAAATGACTTTGAATGGGAAGGTTCTTGTACTTCTTATCGGTCTTCTGTTACCTCCTCTAAAGCACGGGGTAGTGTTCTCGAACAATTGGAAAAAAGTTGCATTGAACGACCTATATATCTGACTTCATAAGGCCAGGTGATATGATATGCGCACACAGAAGTGGTCAGATACGAAAGTTTGTCCTTGAAGTTCTTGGAAATCATTGGTTGACAAGAGAATACTAGTCTCAGCCACTTTGCGAAGAATGTTCTTCTTAGAGAGTTTGACATCCTGTTCTTTAGACTGTCAGCAGCAGAATCACCTTTGGAGTTTAGAATCATATAAAACATCTTATTTGACACTGGTAGGGTTCTCTTTTTAAGGTTTCAGTTTGATAATTTTGCCT